CCCCAAAACCCCAAAACCCCAAAACCCCAAAACCCCAAAACCCCAAAACCCCAAAATATAGCAGAAATATAGAAATTTAATAAAATCAGTCACATTATATGGGCATTTGACGAGCTTTCATAAAAAGATTCTTCTTCTTCTTAATCCTTGACCTCAATTTATGCAACTTCCTGCTGAGTTGTTTCTCAAAGTTCACAGTTGGGATGTGCTTAGAGAAGCTATCTGTAGTTGTGGAGAGCCTAAAGTTTGTCAAACAGGGTTAGGAAGTAACTTACATCGCGTTGTTAGGGATAATCTCAAAGTTATGATCATTCTCTGTAGAATACGCTGCTTCTACACTGCTTTCTCTTGAGCAAGAACTCTTGGTCAGGTTTTTAACCAGGTGATATGAACCAGAAAGAAAGTAGTTCTTGTAAGAAAATTTTGCCTTCTTATTAGGAATGGGAGAGAACCCAAAACTCGTTGATGCGAATGACATCTTGCTGTCCCTATCAATGCTTGAATTAGCTTGCATTGTTTGGAAGAACATTTGCTTGTCTTTCAAGCTTGAAGAAAAGTTGTTTTTATAAGTTTTATTAAATTTCTGGTTTGTCAATGGGCGCCTACACATAGTGTTCTAAAAATACTTACTCATTCTTTTGTAAATTAATCTTAAATTCCTCTTTATTTCTCCGAGAAGAGTTTCTAGGCATCTTGATCTTCTTGCTGAATGGAGAATACGACTGAATATTAATATGATCATTGGTAGAATTCTTATTGTTACTATGAGATTTCTCAAGAGAAGGTGACTCTTGAGAAGAATGTAGGTCTAACCCCTTTGATCGTATATTCATTGATTTATTATGAGGCTTATCATCACTATCTGTATCTCTAAAGTAGCTCCCATAAAGTTTACTGATCTTGTCCTCGTCAAATCTGTACTTCCTATGTCCTCTTTTTCTAAAGATTTTATTGATGATGTTAAGTCTATTCTCTCTATTCTGGGTGCCTCTGAGAAGTCTGTCACATAACTCATTAATGTTGGCTACTCCTTTCTTAGATTTCCTTGGTAAAGTTTTATTGTAGTTAAATTTCCTGATAGCTTGGAGGTTGTCTTTTTCATAAATTTTGTACTTCCCAACTTCTGGAGCATTGGTCTTACTCGCAAAAATAAGTTCCCTATTTCTCCCTACTGACCGCCTTGAAGCTTGAGGTTCCAAGTCTGTATAGTTTAGATGGAAATGTACGTTGCTGAGCTTAATTTACTAGAATTGTACAAGTTTGAACCAGATTTGTTGGCCTAGATGAGTTAGATATGGTATTATTCTACAATTTACCTTATTTTATTTCAAATTTACGCTCACCACGCATGGAGTCAGTATAGAACTCATCTTGATCCTCCTCGTCCTGATTAGGATTTCTATTTTTGAAGCTCCAAAGATTTAGAATGGGCTGACTCGCTAAATGCAATGTACTGGTTCACAGTATATTTACCTGCCCGGGAGAACATGGGTTGCCACTTGCCTCCTTGGGACTTCATGGTATCTGTTACAATTATCATTTTCCAAATAAATTTATTAAATTTATTTTTCATGAGGGGTTTTGGGGTTTTGGGGTTTTGGGG